GATTCTCATTCTTGCTGTACGTGGATATGAAGAGCCATGCGCAAATCATCACTAACATATTTCGTTTTAGAAAAAGTCCTGATGCTCTGCTGCCTGAATGATGACATGGTGCATGTGCTAGCGAGGAGGAACTGATGAACTTTGGATTCTTTGTATTTTCATGTCAGCTGCACAAAGTGACCTACTGTTTGCTGTTTGATTTCCAGGTCCTGCTCCAGAGGCAATAACTGATAAAATTTTCCAAATCAGCAAGACAATTGAAGAATATGCAATTTGCCCCGACCTGAAAGTAGACCTTAGTGTTCTGGGAAAGCAGCAGTTTGACCTGGAAAACAAGTTCAAACCCTTCACAGGCATGTTTGCTTTCCTCCTCTTACTGCCCACTCCTGTTTCCAACTTGAGCAATTTTCCTTTGGAGGTATTAATATAGTGGGTCTTCAGCTATGGAAAGATTGTGGTCACTGGGCTTTGCAAGCATTAATCAATTAACAAGTGTGGAATTAGGTTTGGGAGTCCAGAGACCTGGGCTTTCTGGGTCCTGCCAGTGATCACCTTCGTGACATTGGGTAAGTCATTCCCAATTCTCTGGGCCTCAGTTGTCAGACCTGTAAAACAAATGGCCTTGACTAGAAGACCTGTAAGACTGCACTCATAGTTAACTTTTACTGACCTCTTGTTACATGCCAGACTCTTCACATGCATCATTCCATTTTATTCTCACAGTAGACCTGGGAGTGCAGCACTGTTAGTATTCGATATTTACAGATGAGGAAATGAAGGCTGAGAGAGGTTAATAACACACTCAGGGTCCCAGTCAGGGAATGGGAAAAAAAACAAGAATTAAAACCAAGGGGCAAAGAACCCCAAGCCCGGCCCTTTTCCCCCCCCCCCTGATTCAGTAAAATCAATCAGACCAAGTTTGAGGACTAAATTGAAACTCCCTGTATAGGCAGCTGTGCTTAACATTTTGTTGTTGAATGCCAAGGTATTGTAATAATTGATGGAATAAATGTTTATACAGTTATTCATATTAATAAAATGAGAATGAGATGGTTGGCAATGGACTTTGCCCTAACATGTATTCTTTTCTTCTGGACTGCAACTTTATGCAATGCATTTTTTGTTTGAACCTACCCATCGAGAGCTGACAATTCATCCTAATAAAGATAAAGTGGTACTTTGGTACATCTCAAAGATGTTCTTGGGTTTCAGAAAACACCAGCAGAGAGTTTCTTAAAATTTTAATGTCTTGAAAATCAAACCATAAAAATCAACAACAAAACTAAGTCATATATTTTTATCTTAAGCGTATAATGAAAAGGAATTACACTAAAAAATTTTGTTTTTAACTTTTTTTGTTTTTTGAGACAGGAGTCCTCACTCTGTGCCAGGCTAGAGGCTGATGGATCAGCCTCGCTCACAGCACCTCAAACTCCATGGGCTTAGGCATATCCTTCTGCCTCAGCCTCCCAAGTAATGGGACACAACATGTCACATGCCAGCTAATTTCTAATCTTTTAGTGCGCAATTAATTTCTTTCTATTTAGTAGAGATGGAGGGTCTCGCTGCTCAGGCGGTTCGAACACTGACCTCCGAGCGATCCACCCAGCCAGCCTTCCAGAGTGCCTAGATAAGCGTGGCCACCGAGCCCAGCTGTTTTCAAACTTTTACCATTAAGCATGATACTAAATAAGAAAAGACCCTGAAAAGAAAAGAGAAAGTAGCATTGATTCCGTTATCGACACAAAAGCCCTCTTACGGAAGGGAAAAATTTGGGGACCTTAGGCAGTGTGGCTGTCTAGCAGAGTATGCACCTTCCTATATTGAAAGTCCCATGTGTGCCCATCCTGGCTGTGTGGCACGCCTTAAACCTATTCCAGACTTTAAGCGTGATCATTTCTGAAGAAACTAACAACATATTACTCCAGAATGTTGGAAGTAAATGAGATATTGAATACCTGTATATGCTGCTCCATAAATGATCCTTTTAGAACAGCCATTGCAGTTTATAACAGATAATCGTTCGGAGATATGATAATCTAAATGGTCAATCCTTCCCTCTCTTAACGCGGCTTGAATCTCACAGTGAGAATTGGACTCGGTGAACTTATGCTGCGATGCTAGAACATCTTTGATGCAGGCGCTAAAAGAACTACGTTTCTCGGTCAAACCAGGAAAGACCGGATAGATGCATTGCTGGAGGATTGTGGCAGTTCTCAAGATATCTCTCTTCAGAATAGGAGCTCCTCTACTTTGTGACAATGCTTAAGGAAGCCTCTTCTCAAAGTTCTCTCCAAACAGTTTGAAACAGAGTTGTTTTGCAACCTTTCCAAGCAGTAATTTTCTTTTCACACAGATAAAATCTAAGTCTGTAGCCAAAACAGTAGCAGACATCCTCAGGGTAAGCTAAGCGTGAAGGTCAGCATTTTCCACATTAAGCGTCAGGCTTTTGAGTAACATGCATCGTTGTCCGCGGACTCTCTCCCTCCCCCCGCCCTCCCCTCCCCCTCCCCTCGGAAGATACCGCTCATTTTCTCCCCCCCGTGTATTTCTGAGGAGGGAATGTATTTGCTAGATGTGGCAAACATGCCCCTGAGCCCTGAACCCCAGCAACACCTGCCCCTACTTGCTCCTTTTCTTAGAAGAGGGGAAAAAGCAAGCTGAGGACTAAATTCAGGAACAACAGGATGTGTATATCCTTCTCTTCCTCCTCTGTGGGTGGTGCGGTCAGGTCAGTAGAGACTGCAGCCATCACTGTGAACCGGGGCCATGGAGTTTTCTCATATGTAGGAGTAGGAGAATTCCTGAGCACTTAGATTGTCCATGTCTGTGGTCCCCAGCCCCCAGGCCACAGCCGGTACTGGTCCGTGGCCTGTTAGGAACCCGGCCACGCAGCAGGAGGGAAGCAGTGGGCGAGTGGAGTGAAGCTTTATCTGTATTTATAGCTGTTCCCCATCACTCTCGTGACTGCATAAGCTCCGCCTCCTGTCACATCAGCGGTGGTGTTAAATTCTCATAGGAGTGCAAACCCTACTGTAAGCTTCGCAGGCAAGGGATCTAGGTTACACACTCCTTATGAGAATCTAATGCCTGATGATCTGAGGTGGACCTGAGGTGGTGATACTAGCACAGGGGAGCGGCTGCAGATACAGATCATCATTAGCAGAGAGGTTTGACTGTACAATAAATGTAATGCGCTTGAGTCATACTGAAACCATCTCCCCAGCCACCCCGGTCCGTGGAAAAATTGTCTTCCATGAAACTGGTTCCTGGTGCCAAAAACATTGGGAACTGCTGATCTATATGTTTTATGATAGTTTAGAATGTTAGAACCTTTAAGTGGCAGGGATTCTCCCTGGTGTGGAGAATCTGCCTACCTGGGAAAGACCTTCTGCCCAGTGCTTGGACCCTTTCAGTGATGCCGGCTGGGGCCTCCTGTGACACTGCAAACCATGGGTAGAAAATCTTCTCCTAGCGGGCTGAAATTTTCCATCCCTGGAAAATCCCCCCCTGGGATCCTGGCTGGCCCTCTGGAGTCCCACAGAAAGGGTCTTCTTCCTTCTTCAGACGAAAGCATTCCTGTCATTTTAAGCCAGTCAGCAGACATGTATTGAGAACCTGCTACATGCATGCTTGGCGACTAGGCAGGCAGTTGGCAGATGACTTCCTTCTAAGAGTTTGGGGAACGTTTGGGGGCATGAGGCAGGTAAAAAACTAACCACTGCCGGGCCAAGAAAATGAGAGTTAGAATCTCAAGTATTGTCTTTGGGGTTAGAAAAAGGCATAGTTTGATTAGGGGTATCACGAAAGTTTTCCTGGAAGAGATGGCAGTTTTTCGTAACACTCAGCTTTTAGGAAAGAAAGAAAGATCTAGGGTGATGGAAATCAAGCGATGGTTATTCCCAGCAGAGTCAATGACTTTCACAAGGATGTGAAGGTTTAAAAATAGATGCCACATTAGGAGAATGAGGTGAAGCCTGGGCTGGCTGGAGAATGGGGCTTGTAGGGGGGTACTGGGTAAGAGAAGCTGGTCAGGAAATAGAATTCTTTTTTCCAAGTCCTTCAGTTGTTCCTCTAATGCCTCCCTTTCTGTATCCCTCACCGCCCTGGCTGCCTTGGCCCCATTCTGTGGTGTGTCAATAACCTGTGTAACGTGCGGCCCCTAATAGGAGACACTCTGCCCTGTTCTGACCTCTGGCATGTGTTGTGTTGGGGCTAGTACCTTCCTTGATGAAAACTCATCCTCAGCATCTTAGAGATGCATATTCTTGGCTTACAAAATGTCATTGTAAACATATGTGACTGGTTTCTCCTGTCACTTGTTGTTACTGGTTTTTGTTTGTATTTTTTTGACCAGTTTTTCAGAAAGCTTGACATCGTAGAAAGATAGGAGCTCTGAATCCCAACCCCTACTCCTATTAGCTGTGTAAGTTTGGGCAAATTTCTTATCTCAGAACATCAGTTTTCTTATCTATAAGTTGGAGGTTATAATCACAATGTAAACATTTGTAACATATGTGCCAGGTACCGTTGCCAATGCTTCCTATCGATTAACTCGTTTAATTATCACATCAACCCTGTTAGGTGGTTACTGTTATGATCCTCATTTTGCAGATGGGAGAGACTGAGGCCCAGAGGGATTAAATAACTTTCCCAAAATTGTACAGCCAGTGATTGGCAGAGGTGGGAGTTGAACCCAAGACATTCTGATTGCGGGGTCTAGACTCTTAAGCACTGAGCTGTCCCACCTTGTGGGTTCTTCTGGAGGACTGAATGAGGAAATGGTTGAGCAGTACTTGGCACAGGTGTACAGTAGGGCCCATAAGATTAGTTCCTTTCCCTTCCCTCACTCTTTCCCTCGTGACTGTCCCCACCTTCCCAACCTAATCTCTCATTGTTCCCTCTTACAGACCCTTCTTCCCCAGTCAGACTTGCTCTTGACTAGCCCCTGAATACAGTTCGTACGTTCTCATTGCTGCTCTTGCCTTTCTTCTCCCCGGGATGCATCCACCTCACCCCCCATCCTCACATACTTTAAGAAGTTTTATTTTCCGATTCCCCACGTACTTTTGCTTTGTGCTTTCCGCAGTTGTGGGACCATATGTAAAGAAGATCCTCTGTGAAGAACTCGGCGCCCCTGCAAACTCAGCAGTCAACTGCATTCCTCTGGAGGACTTTGGAGGCCACCACCCTGACCCCAACCTCACCTACGCAGCCGACCTGGTGGAGACCATGAAGTCAGGAGAGCATGATTTTGGGGCTGCCTTTGATGGAGATGGGGTGGGTACAAGTGCATTTAAGTGAACTCTGGTGCAGGCCAGGCCTGATCTTGCAGATGAGGACAAAGGAGGGATTGCTTCTACCAGGCCCTGGAAGCCACTGTCAGGGGTCTCTCATTGTACCCAAGGTCAGAACTAAATTATTAAAAGATCATCTTGAACAGAAATAAGAGTCACTGCAATGGAACCCATGTGTTTAATTTCGGATATCCATATTTGCTAAGAGTGGCAGGTAAATGGGTTCCAGGTATGATGTAATGACTGATCCTTCCTGAGCTCCTTAGGTTCTACATGCCTGTCCTAAAGAAGGTTTCTGCTTTCAACCAGCAGCTGGCTACTTATTTAATCCCTGGAAAAAGTTTGAGTCTTTTAAGGTGCCCATTCATTCACATTAGCTGAATGTTGAAACTATAATTTTATATTCTATATGAAGATGATATTGAGAGAATTAACTTGTTATTCCTTCTCTACAATGAAAATGTTTGTCAATAAGCTGTTTTATTTACATTGGTGACTCTGTATCAGACAATAAAGAGATAGATGTGTCTTAGGTTGTCTCCCTGGTGTCTCACAGGTAGTAGGTGCTTTACTTAGTACATGTACTTAGTAAACATGGATTCTAGCTAATTCTAGCTGATGATATTTCCTGAAAAATAATTTTTCCCTTATCAAAATTTTGGGAAATTAAAGGGATTTCCTAGCAGACATTATTTCACAACGCGTCTTTGTGATACGGTGTGTGTTGGGTGGTTTTCCCCTCCATATTCCCAGGTACTTGAGTGTGACTGTACACCAGGCACCAAGGAACCAGTGATAGTGGCAGCATGTTTTTCTGGGTCCAGTACCCAATGGAGGGGCCAGGATTTAGGAGCCCTTCCTTGAAGAAATCTGCCTTAGACCTACCAAACTGTGTAAACAGCCAGCGTTTCCTCTCTCATTGTGTTCTCCCCTCCCCTGGGAGAGAGGCGATTGGTTCCAGAGTTTGGAAAAGGTCTAGGAGGTTAACATTAGCTGGCCTCTGGAAGGAGAACAGAGTATTTGGCTCAAAAGAAGTTTGCGCTTGCACTTTAATTGAAAACAGTTTTAACTCTTTGGCCCAATGGTACTGTATATACCCATTAAAAATAAAATCCAGTGTTTAAAATCCAGTATAAGTAAATGTATCAGTTTTCAATTTTATAAAAACCCCCATGGAAGATAGTTTGATTTCTTGTAGTCCGATTAAAAGGTCTTCCTTTGAATCTTCTTTCCCCCCTGTAGGATCGAAACATGATTCTGGGCAAGCACGGGTTCTTTGTGAACCCTTCAGACTCTGTGGCTGTCATTGCTGCCAACATCTTCAGCATTCCTTATTTCCAGCAAACCGGGGTCCGCGGCTTTGCACGCAGCATGCCCACCAGTGGTGCCCTGGACCGGTAGGTCTCTCCATTTCCTTGGCCCTCCTGTCTTGGATTGTCTTGGTCCTCACCGTGCCCTTCACCATGCCCAGTGCACTCACTCGTCCTTCCCTTCCAGCATAGGCCTTCTGGTGCAGAGCGCTCACTGAGTGCTTCTTGTATGAGGGAATGGGTGGTTTTTTCCTGGATTAGATGCCCCCCTCTGCGCTCCCTTTGCACCCTGGACTTCCTCCCTCGTGGCACTCAGCTGTGTTCTGATAGCCTGCGTGCCTGACTGGCTGCCCTGCTGGGCCGTGTACTTCTGCAGAGAGAGGATTGTTTTCTTCATCATCCTAGACTCTGCCTGACCCTGGTGTGCCTGGCACATAGCAGGACAAACACACACACACATCATTTTTTGAACAATGAATGAATGAATGAATGTTAATGAATAAATGAATGGATAGCTCTTTAACTGTACTCAAGACATTTTTTCTAGAAGACCACTTTTACTTTAGCAGTGTGCACAGAGTTTGGGTGAAAGAGCATATTGAAGCAATTTTGGAGTTTCAGCAGAACTGGATCACCCATGTACACACAAGCACAGTGAATGTTCATTTGTGTAAAATCTAAAACAGAAAGTTCAAATAGGTAAAAAAATTACATTCAGTTTTTGTGAGATAGAAACCAGTGACAATAAATAGTTGCTATCTCAGATTTACTTGTTTGTATATTTGTGTATTTATTATGTATCACTTCATTGTACAAAGGCTTTAAGGTGGCTTATGAGATCACATCTAAAAACTTGAAAAATAAAGTAATAAGTAACAAATGAGGATTAGGGAAAATATTAATTAGAACATGTCAGATGCCCTAGAAACGTTTGCTAAATGAAAGATAAAGAAAGATGAACTAGACTGGGCATGGTGGCTCACGCCTGTAATCCTAGCACTCTGGGAGGCCGAGGTCGGAGGATTGCTTGAGGTCAGGGGTTCCAGAACAGCCTGAGCAAGACTGAGACCCCGTCTCTTCTAATAATAGAAAAATTAGCCAGGTGTCATGGCATACACCTGTAGTCCCAGCTACTCTGGAGGCTGAGGCAGGAGGATCGCTTGAGTCCAGGAGTCTGAAGTTGCTGTGAGCCAAGCTGATGCCATGGCACTCTAGTCCAGGCAACAGAGCAAAACTCTGTCTCAAAAAAAAAAAGAATTAATGAGTAAAAGGTCAAGGCCAGGGAAGACAATAGACTCAAGTATCTAGCCTCTTATAGGGATAGCTAATATTTATTGAACATTACCTTGTCCTAGACACTAAATCTTTAATGTGTTTTAAGTCATTTAATTTCTTAGACCAACCTCAAGGTAAATGCTGTATATAACTCCATTTTATTTTATCCTATTAAGTTAGTTAATTAATTTAGTTAGTTTTGAGACAGGGTCTCACTCTGTTGCCTAGGCTACAGTGCAGTAGTGTCATCATAGCTCACAGTAGCCTCAAACTCCTGGGCTCCAGTGATCCTCTTGCCTCACCCTCCCAAGTAGCTAGGACTACAGGCACGCACCAACCACCACGCCTGGCTAATTTTTCTGTTTTTTGTAGAATTGGAGTCTCATTCTTGCTTAGGCTGATCTTGAACTCCTGGCCTCAAGCAATCCTCCTGCCTCAGCAACCCCATTTTACTGGTGGGAAAACAAAAGGACAAAGAAGTAACTTGACCAAGGTCACCCAGCTAGTATATGGCCGGGTCAGAATTTGAACCCAGAGCCTTTGCTCCCATATTTGGGGCCATGCAGTAGTTTCCTATTGGAGGGGAGCTGGTCACAGAATGAGTGTTGACTTCACTTCAGCTAACAAGAAAGTAATAACTAATATCCATGCAGTGGTTCGTAGTTTATATAGTGTTTTTACATTCACCATCTAAATCCTCACAGCATCCTCATTTTAAAGAGGAAACTGAAAGTCAGAGAAGTTAACAGTCTTGTCCAAGACCCCACAGCCAAGTTAGAGCTAGAATTCAAACCCACTGTTTCTGCCTCCAGCTCCTACGTCTGAAGCTAGGAGCTGGTTTGTGGCCCTACTATCATCCATTAAACCCATCAGGTCCTGGAATGCCTTCTGTGTCATACACGAACAGATTAATTCTAACTTTTTGGAAAAATTGATAATACATATATAGAAATGCAACTGAAGTACGTCCTTATCCAGATAAAAGTTTATTGTATTTTCATGGCTTTCAAAATTATAGATTGGATTTTCCTCAAATATTAGCAAACCCTGACATTGCTTGGATAGGAATAAGGCAAGCGTTCCGGAAGCAAATCTCACTAAAACAGTGAGTGAAAACTGTCAGATAACTTTTCCTGTTCAAAAGGAAAGGAATTTTTTTGAAAAGTCACTCAAAGGTTTTAAAGTCTAAAGATGTCTAGGGAGAAGTAAAAGAGGTATTAGAAGGGAAAAGGGACCCCCCGATCAGTGTGAGTGACCCTGGTGCAAACAGGAGAGACCCCCTGGGTCCTTTCCCTACAGGGCCTTCTGATGAGATGAAAGACCGTTGACTGGGCAGTTGAACACTGGGCAGTCGATGATCCTGGCTGGGTGAACTTGGTCTAATCACATGACATTCTGAGCCCTGTTTCCTTCTCTGTAAAATGCTGACCTCCCAAGCCCAGTATTTCATGATTCTGTGATTATAAGTACATCAAAACATTGTTCTTTTGTTTGTTATAGAATGGTTATAGATGCAGTCTATGTCCAAAACACATGGATTTAAATAGCCTACAAAATAGCCCTGCACATTTTACTACTGTTGTTTCTTCTAAAATATTAAACTCAGTGTTTTGAATTAATTCTTTCTTCTTCCCCCTCCTCTGAATCCACATATATAATAGCCCATTGTGCACAAGTTTTCTCTTATGATTTTCCACCAATCTTAGAATTATGTATACCTCTGAGCAACGCTAAATGGGACCCTTGATCACAATAACAGTTGCTCTTTTCCATCCTCACACGGCTACGCTAACAGTCCTGCTGTGATGTAACTTTGATTTCATGCCTTTGAAGGGTGGCTAATGCTACAAAGATCGCTTTGTATGAGACCCCAACTGGCTGGAAGTTTTTCGGGAATTTGATGGATGCGAGTAAACTGTCCCTTTGTGGGGAGGAGAGCTTCGGGACTGGTAAGTCACACTCCTGTGCTAGCATTTTCCTCCCTGTAACTGCTACTTCCAGTGAAAGCTTAGACTGCTAAGGTAGCACTGAAATAGCAACAGTAGCTGATGTGTCCTACATCAAGACACAATTTATTTATAACAACTCTGATGAAGTGTACACATTTGAAAAGCGGCAAGTGCATTCAGCCAGGAGGGCTAATTTTACTTTGAAAGGATCACATCTACGGAGACAGGAAGTTCGGGGGCCTCCCTGGCGGCATGGTCATTGAGTCTGTAGGGATTAGACAGAGTGATAAACACATTTTTCTTCCCTCAGTGGTCAAGGAAACCTTTATAAATGTTTTCATTTCTGGAAAGAAATAGGATGGAGGGAGTGTGTTTTTCATTTTTGTTTAAGAGGAGGTTTCAGCACAGTATTAAATCTTTCTCTTGCATAGACCCAGTTTATCTATAGCAACAAGTTATGATTTATCAAGGTTAAATGAAGGAAGACCATGAGGGTGGAACTAAGTTGCTAGGTGATCAAGAAATTAAAACTATATCCTTGTGCATGAGGGTGTGTGTGTAATTGCAGTACAGTATACTCGGGGGATCACCCAAGACCCTTAGACCCAACTCTCTGCTCTCCTTCCTCCTCTCTGCTTGTCCAAATACTGACCTGAGCTCCCACCTTCTTCATGACCCTTCCTATGACCTCATTCTACCTACATCAGTCTCTCTTGCCTAAACTTATCTGTTCAGACACGTGGGTCTTTCCTAGGTCTTGGTCTCCAGCCAGATTGCAAGGTGCTTAAGTGGCCATATCGCTTCTCCTCCTATTCTCTCTACCCAATATTTTGAAGTAAAAGGACTGATCTTCTTGGCCCTTTAGTATTCTGGTGTCACCCTTTAGCAAAGAAAAGAAGATCAAAACCAAGCCTTCTGTCAGCCTTGCACTGAGTTGCAGTTCATGCCAGGTGAAACAACGGAATACTGACATCACTTCCTTTCCTACAAGGCTGGAGGTAGGGTGGGTGGAATGAGCTGGTAAATGTTGAGGCACATATTTACAAAGTTCTAAGCAATTTAATATCTTTGAGAGAGTGGTAGTACTCTTTGGCTATAAATTGACTTGCTCAAATTGGAAGGTATTAAGAAACATGGATGAGTCTTGGGGTTGAACAGTGTCCACAACAAAGGCTAGATCACTCCCCAGAGTTCTGGGTCTTTAATCAGAGATTACAGGGCACTGCCTAGTCCCTTCCTACTTCATGTAATGTAGATGGCGCCACATTAGTCCGAGGGATACTACATGAATGAGGGGGCCTTCTCCCTTGAAATACCCCCCACCCCAGTGTCATCTGGTGCCGGCGTGGTGTCAGTCATTCTTCTTTACAGATGAAGATGTCTTTGAAGGCAGGCACTGTGTCAAAACCTTTGGTTTCCTGCCCTGCCCTTATGTCTCTTTTATCAGTGCTGAGGCTGGTGAAAAGAGCAAAGTCTTGAATCAGGTTTCCCAGGGTGTGTGGTATGTGGAAGATTCTAGTTCCAGGAGAGGGTTCTGGGAGTCCACAAAGATTGGGAAACATGGAGTATACCTCTCTATCTCGGGTATTCACGATGGTAGTAGCATTTGAAGGTTCCAAAACATTCTACTCTAAGGAATACTGTCAGTAAAGTTTTGCCCAAACATAGGTAACCACAATATCTTTTTTTTTTTTTTTAATAGTATGCACAGTAACATCTTGTCCCATGGACCCCGGTGGGAAGCACTGAGTAGGAGGGATCAGAGCCCCAGAGCCAAGTAGGAGTCCCTGGCGTTGACTGGCTGGGAACAGGCCTGGTGACAGGATGGCACAGGCTGCTCCTCTCTTACATGACAGGACTTCAGATTCTAGAAGCAGCTCTCAGGTCCTTCCTTCTCCAGGCCTCCCATCCTTGGTTCTTCCAGTTGTTCCTCATCTCATGTTGTTTATAGAGCCAGCACCAGCCTCTAGATGTTTCCATGTTCACCAGTGCCCCTCTTGGAAGGTGGTGCCTAGAACTGAGCCCAGATCGTCCAGGCCCGGCCTGGCCAGTGAAGAGTAGGGTGGGATGAGTCTTTCTAGTGATCTGGGCACAGTACTTCTCTTTATGTAACTTTCACTATGTTAGCTTTTAGGCAGTTTCATAATACTGTTTATGTAAGGCTGTGGATAATTAAACCCTTAAAGTTTATACCTGGAAGCATTTGCCAAGAAAATTCCCCCACGTTATATTTGTGGAATTGATTTCTTTGAACCAAAGCATTCGACTTTAGACTATTCCTTGCTGATATTTGCTCTGATTTATTAACCCATTCAACAAATACCTAGTGCCAACCATGGTTTTTTCTTCCCCTTGATATATTTTATGTCCAAAGAGAGAATGTATCATGAGAATAATCCACAAGTTCTTTCTCAGAAAGAAAGAAATTTGTTGTATAATATTTCTGAGATAAACATTTTTTTTTTTTTTTAGACAGAGTCTCACTCTGTTGCCCAGGCTAGAGTGCCATGGCATCAGCCTAGCTCACAGCAACCTCAAACTCCTGGGCTCAAGTGATCCTTTTGCCTCAGCCTCCCAAGTAGCTGGGACTACAGGCACACGCCACCATGCCTGCCTAATTTTGTCTATATATTTTTAATTGTCCAGCTAATTTCTTTCTATTTTTTTTAGTAGAGACAGGGGTGGTGGTGATGGGGGTCTCACTCTTGCTCAGGCTGGTCTCAAACTCCTGAGCTCAAACTATCCACCCACCTCGGCCTCCCAGAGTGCTAGGATTACAGGCGTGAGCCACCGCACCCGGCCCTGAGATAAACATTTTAAAAAACCAGGCTGCATAGCCATGGGTCTTCACCATTGCAAACAAGTACAGCTGAACTTACTGAACTGAACTGATCTCATTTAGAGAGGAGTTAATTTCCACCTACCCCATCCTTTGCTAGTGAATGTTTACAACAGTTCCTTTATGGAGTTTCTCAGGGTGGATGTTAGCGATTCTGTGAGCTTTGAAATATTTGCATTCTATAGCTTAATTGAGTGCAGGGCACTTTATTTCTGTATTTTTCCAGGAATAGCAGAGCCAATTTCTCAAGAAAGCCTCTTTGACCTTTCAGAGTGGGTCAAATCCCCTGAGTATTGGCTTACAAGGCACCACAGACCTCTCTTTTGTGGCACTTGTTGCAGTTGTGATTTTATAATTATTTGTGATTATTTGATTGTCTGTTGGCTCCACTAGACTGTAAGTTCCATGAGGACAGATTGTATCCCGAGAACCTCTCATAGAGCCCAGCATAGAATAGGTGCTCAGTAAACATTTGTTGAATGAATGAAAGAACACTATTCACTTGGCACCTTCCATTTAGACAAACAGAATTCTGCTGTTGGAAAGAACTTTAAAAGTCATTTGATGTAATTTCCTGTACGACGCTGCAACCATAAGTGACCCGTCAGTGCTTCCAGCTTAAACACCCACCTCAGTGGAGCATCCACACCTCACCTCTTGCAGCAGCCTGGGACTCTTGTGAGGACTCAACATCATTCCCACCTCTCGGTCCAGGGTTGGGGACCCCGAAGTCTTCATGAGAAGAAACGAGCTTCTACAAAAGTTAATTGCAAAGAGGTGCAAAAGGGAGTCAGACTTCAGAAGAACTGGCTCACCAAGTAAAATAAACATTTGAAGAATACGCCCATAATATTACCAAGTATACATTAGTCTGTTCGTGGTGGAGATACAGCAACTTTCTTACCTGATTATCATAACTACAGAGGCTAGAACATTTCTTCAGACGTCAGAATTACAAACACAAGGGATAAATGTGTTTTTCATTAGAAAATCAGAAATGGGGACCAGAACTAGCCAGGAGGAATCTGTTGTTTTCAGTTGATCTCATGGTGCAAAGCTGTTTTTTTCCTCCTAACTGTGGATGATGAGGTGCATGTTTATACACAATGACAGAGGGCAAAGTGTCAGTTCTGTCCCACCTTGGACTTGTCAGGACATTGAAAGTAAAGTCATTGAATAATACAGACTGTCTTTGCCTTTGAAAGCCTTCCTCAGTAAAATAGGGCACTTGGGAAAAAGGGGTAGGAAGCCAGGCTAAAGATGAACCTGGTATCACTTGGAGATATGCGAGTAAATTATGGTCTGGTCAGGTCCAGAGGTGAGCAGTGTCTTCCCTGTCCCATCTTGAAAAGGTTCTAGCGATAAAGTGTCATATAAGAGTGCTAACTTGAAGATATTCAGCATTCATGCTTTGCAGATTTCTTTTAATCTAAATTTCTTATGAAAAGTCCTTCATGTTTGTACTTCTTTGCATCCATTTGATCCTCAAATGTTTATTGAACTTTGAGTGTATCCTGGATGCTGGGTTAGGCTCTGGAGACACGGTAGCAAGCACGGCCTCCTTACGGAATGCTCCATGAGTTTCCATCTGGGGAAGGAGGTCAGACCCTGCCAGGTAATTACAAGTGTGCAAAGTGATAGAAGGGCAAGTACAGGGCACTGCTGGAGCTTCACACGCAGGGTGCCTAACCTGGATCTGAGGTGTAAGGAAGCAGATTTTCTATCTTGTTCTCTGCCCATTCTCACTTTCATAGCTCTTGAGTCCATTTCCCAGCAGGTAAAGCCCCCAGGGGAAGGCTGCAGCATCCCATGTCTAGGGAGATCCCAGACAGAACACCCCAGTAGAACGAGGCTTGTGCCCTAATTTTAACTAACTCCGTTGAACTGTTACCTGAAGGTCTGTCTCCCTCACCTGTCTGCATTCATCTGTGAGGGCAGGAGACGTGCCTCACGCATCTTGGTATCCTCTCATGTGCTTGGAACATGCTGGCACTGATTCACATTTGTTGGATGTAAAGTGAAGTTAGTGTGAGGACACAGCTCCTGCCTGCCAGGCACTTGCTACCTCCCTCCAGAGGCGCCTCACAGAAAGGGGACAGAGTTCCAGGGGCTGTCATGAGGCAGCGCAGGAGGCATTGCTAAGTGGAGAGTCTGGGACTGCTGGGGACAGCCCCCTGGGGGCTGGAGTGGTCTGGAAAAGGCTTCCTGAGGAGCTGGCCTTCCTTTCCGAGTGAAGTTATTTGTGCAGTGGAAGGCCGGGAGGACAGGACTGCGGAGCCTCCTGGCCAGTCAGCTGGGGCCTGGCCTTTCTTAATCCTTACTGAGAGCTGACTGTGGGTCAGGCGCAGGGTGGGGGTGGGGACGACTCATAGTGTAGGGTGGGGTGTGACCAAGGGAAGGGTAGAAGCACAGAGCGGGGACAAGGAGGGCGTCCTGGATAAGGGCGAAGATGAAAGGAATTGGAGGAGATGCAGCCAGGCAGATGGTGGGACCCCCAGGCAGAGGGAGCAGTCTGTTCAGGGGGCTGCAGGAGAGAGAGAAATGACGGGGAGAGATGGACAGACAGCCAGACAGACACTGGTACTTTCAGAGAACTCCACGTAGCTGTTTTCAGCTGCCATGTCCCCGTCCTCAGACCCGTGGCCTGGCAGGGGCAGAAACCAGGCAGCCCCTGAAATGCCCACGCTGGTAAGTGTGATCCCTCAACCATTAGCTCTTGGCTCCCTCAGCAAGGGCTGACATTTTTCTTGGCTGAGACCCAGAGTATGCCCTGACTGAGCCGAGTTTTCGCTTATCACAAGGTGCTGATTAGGCCAAAGCAAAGTGACAGGTGCTCTTAGACGCTGAAAGGGCAGAATCCCGTGCACGCACTCAGTCCCCGAGCCAGGCCAGTGTAAAGGGACCCAGTGCAAAGCCCACCCCTGCCCTGTGTCAGCCGCGGCTGGCCTAGGAGCTGCTCACGGTGTTTTCCCTTCTCACAGTTAAGTGAGCTTGGCTTCTTTTACTTTTTAACAATTAAAACATAGAAGTAATTCATATTCATTACAGACATAATTCCAAGCTATATACTGCTGTCATGAATTCCCAATATATTGGGGAATTAAATAAAAAAGGAAGAGAAAGCTCTGTAATCCCAGTCCCCAGAGGAAAGAACACATTGGGTTATATTCTTCCATTGTCTTCCCTCATATGTACAGTTAAGCATTATTTTTGAAAGCTTTGTAAGCTCAGTGGAAAAGAATTTTCTGTAAAATATGCTTTTTGTTTTTCCCTTTATTCATAATGGTATCTTGCATTTATATGGTGCTTAACAGTTTATAAAATAGCCCCACTTGCTTTATCATAATGATTTCTCACAGTTGTGTGAAAGAGGTTAGCATTATCTCCATTTTACAGTTGAATAAACTGAGGCTTAGAAAAATTAAGTAACTTGTTCAAATTCGAACATCTTGTAAGTAACAGAGCCTCAAATTCAGGCTTTTTGATTGTTAAGTTAGCAAGCATTTCCTAATAAGCCACAACTGTACAAGTTAGAAGCTTTAGAAACACATATATGCTCCAATGCCTTTTTTCACTGGAAATATGCCATTATTCATCAGAATGCAGAAGAAAATGAAATTTATCCAGCCTTCCTGAGTATTAATCAAATTACATAGAGTTTTTGGTACATCCAAGGTGATTTAGTGAGATTAACCAAAACATTCAAAGGGACTGAGGGTCATACAATTGGAGCAGGTCTAGGATATCTGTTTATGTTACCAGGATAGATACTTCGTTTCTAATATTACATGTATGATTTAGTTATCTCCAAGTAACTTGGTCAGAGTTGGGTAAGACTTTTAGATTTTATTTTCATTTCCATATAAAAGAAAAAAAACAAGTTCTTCACTTACAGTAGGAAAAGCAAAAAAAGAACATTGCCTCCTATGCAGTCAGTCTTGCCAAAAGAGAAAGAAAAAAGAAAAAAGTTCAAGGGGGAAAAAAAAGGGAAGGAAAAAACCTGGAGCATGGACAAATAATTCCAGGCTGTATACTGCTGTCATGAATTCCCAATATATTAGGGAAGCTGCCAGAATCTCGCTTCTCAGGATGAACTGTTGCCAAAACATATCATTTACAAAAGCCGTAAGAAGCAGAGAGCTAACTTTTTCTTCCTTAAAATAGCAGTAAAGGCAAATAAAAGCCTATAGATAATAAAATTGGGTAAACATTTCTAAAATTTGTTATATAAAGCACTAAAAATATTGCCTACTATTTCTAGTTTTGCCAGCATCCAGATTGTAAGGACTGTTACTTCTAAAAATTGTATCCCATTGAAGAGAAAAACCTTTTGAAAGAAAAAGTTGTATGTTTTTATGAACCCAAAATAGAAAGAGAATGTGTTGGAGTAGGTTCATTAGTTGACTCACTCATTCATACACTCTTTGTAATTAGTTATTTCCTATATTCCTTGTGCTATGCCAGTCACCAGACTTAGTTAAAAGGATAAGCAAGAGATGCCTCCAAAAAGTCCATGGGTAGCAGGGAGAAAGACCCAAACAGGAGGATGGCGCCACCCTAGATGTTTTGTGAGGTTGCTCTAGGAAAAGAGAAAAGAGCTTGTAACTGCAGAGGGAAACAGGGAGCTAGTCTCAAAGAGGAGAGAGGACATTTGAGCTGGGTCTGAAAGGATGAAGAGGGAAGGAAAAAACTTAGCACATGCCTCCTGCATAGCCAGCATTGTGCTAGATACTCGGACAATTCCAAGACGAATAAGAACCAGTGGGAACCAGGGCAGCAGGCACATAAGGAATTCAAGTTATGACAATATGCAAAGCATGATTATAGAAGGATAGTATAGAGTCTATTCAGAAGTCAGAAAATAGAGCTCAATATAGTCTGCTTTTTTTCCAAATAAGGAGTTTAAAGGCAAAAAGTGGGAGTTCTGTTCCAGACTCTTAGAAAAGGGTCTCCATGTGTATAAGCATATCTGAAGGAACCAAATTTTTAAATTTTGGTAAAGATTTTAGCCAGGACCTTAGCAGGAAATCATAGTTTATTTAACCAGTCCTAGTTGGTTAAATAACAATGTCTTTGGATTGGAGTTGCTGGATCCATGAGTAGATACATTTTTAAAGCTTTGATACTTTTTGCCAAATTGCTTTCCAGAAGTGTACCAATGTACTCTCCCACCAGCATTGTGTTGGAATAGTTTTCCTTATACCTCCCCTGATACTGGGTGTTCTAATTATGAAATCTATGGCCATATTTGTCAAGCAAGTGGCAGTCTCTTGATTGTGGTTTTAACTTTATTTTCTCTTAAAAATAATGCCAGCTTTTTATTATGTTAATTGGTTAACTGTTTTGTTGTTGTTGTTTTTTTCTTTCTGGCAAATTGCCTATTTATATCCTTGGCCTGTATTTCTGTTGAGGTTTTGTTTTTTTTCTTAGTGCATAAGATTTTTTTCCACTCATTAGGTGTGAAATTCATTTTGTTATGGCGTTTTCCCCCAATTGTTTAGCTAGTTATCCAAACACCATTTAAAAATGGATCCATTCTTTTTACACAGCTCTGAAGTGACACCTTTATCACATACTAAAGCCTCATATGTGCTTGGGTCTCTTTCTAGCTGTTCTCTTTTGTTCCATTAAGCTACCAGACTAATTATTGACATTTTATACTGGTCATATTCTTCTGCTCTTTGTTTATTTAAGACTCATTTTGTTCTTTCTTCACGTTAATACTTTATAATTGATACATGAAGTTCCACCTTATTATCTCACTGACATTTTTATTGGCATTTGCCTTAAATTCCTAAGTTACTTTGGGAAGCATTAACTTCTTTTCAATATTATGTTGCTTTCTTCAATATGTGATTCTTTCACTCAAGTCCTCAGTTGAGTGTTCTGACTTTTCCATGGCCATCCGCATGCTCACTGTTGAGTTTATTCTCAAGTGTTTGGAGAAGTCCCGTTTCTCACAGCAGCCGGCTCTCCCCTCCACAGGCTCTGACCACATCCGTGAGAAGGACGGACTGTGGGCTGTCCTCGCCTGGCTCTCCATCCTGGCCACCCGCAAGCAGAGTGTGGAGGACATCCTCAAAGATCACTGGCAAAAGTATGGCCGGAATTTCTTCACCAGGTAAGCCCCAGCCTGCCTGGCCATCAGGCAGCGTGGGAAATTCGGCAGAGAGAATTCTCATGCATACACAGCCTGTCTTGTCCTAAGTGATAGTAAAACCCCAGTTCACCCAGCCTCTACCAATTGGAGATTTTTAAAATAATTCAGTCAGGGTTGAAATGAAGTGAACTTCCATGTCAGCCATGAAGAATTAGGCCTAAAACTTTAGCTAAAAATAATCAAAAGAATAAATGTTTTATAAGCATTTTTAAATGTACCCATTGGGTGGACATTATCATAACATTGGATTTAGATTCAAAGAAGTGGATTCGAATTTTATTTCTTCCCCTTACTCGACGGGGGAGTCATTTAACCTCACTCTGTACTCAGTTTTCTCATCTGTAGAAATGGAAATAACAGTCTAGCTATTGGGAGGATTAAATGAAATATGAAATCATATTTCCTTATTTCTTAAATTATGGAAATAATTATGCTTAGTCCAAATCAACTTTACTGATTCATTAAAATAGGACCCCAAAGGCTTTATATTTGTCACTACTTCATTAATTGATTCAGCAAATATTTACTGTATGCCTACTTCCTGCTGGGTACCAGGGATTCAGCAGTGAACAAAATACTCAGAACACTTAATAATAATTCTTTACCAAATGTATTTCTACTTTGAAAAAGCATTAAAAATTTGTTGACAGTAGTGCTTTTCACTCAGTCCAATTTGCCTTTCTCCCAGTAATTATAAAAATCTAACAAAATTTTTCCTGGACCTCAGTATTCCAATTATAGAAAGGAAATATGATAAAAAGAATATTAGTTAAATTGTTTACCTATAAGAAATGAGTGAGTGTAATTTCTATGGACCTTTTTCAGTTGCCATTTTTATAAAATGGGTGTGTTAGACTAGAGAATTTACTTTTTTTTTTTTTTCTTTTTTGAGGCAGAGTCTCTGTCACCCAGGCTAGAGTACAATGGCATCATCATAGTTCACTGCAACCTCAAAGTCCTGGGCTAAAGCAATTCTCCTGCCTCGACCTCCCAAAGTGTTGGGATTACAGACATGAGTCACTGCACCTGGCTAGACTAGAGAATTTTAAAAATATATTCCGTGTTTTAGTCTATGATCTCTGGATAGTAAAGAAAGAATTCAAACTTAAACAATGTGGGCTCTTCAATCAGAATCCTTTTAACTTTGGACAAATTCATTGTCTTCCTCCCTTAAGCTATTCTTTTGTGGAAGGCATAAGTAATAATTGCCAGCTGGTACCACACAGTAGCCCTGGGATCCAAGGCAAGAATCTCTACTCTCTAATAGACAGAAAACCCTGGGAATTCAGAATCACAGTCATGGACTCTCTAGAGTCTCATAAAAACAGGACCATGTCTGGTTTTGTGCCCCAAACACCTAGGTCATTGTAGAAACTGCATAATTATGTTTTGAATAGATAAATGAATGAATCAACAGATGAACCGTGGCCAGAGTAGAATTAGGAATAAGGTTAGGAGGGGTTGTTCAGAGAAAGGGTCACTGTTGAATAAATTGAACATCTCCATATAAAAACTATTTTAACATATTTTTATTAATTATCAGATAACCAAGTATTACAAATCAAATCATTAGAACCTGCATTGATGATGAGTCATGACTCCACTGTACTCTCCATTTATTGCAGAAAAATGCTAGGCACTTTTGCATGCCTTGTCTCATGTCAGCCTCAGGATAGTTATTGCAGCAACTGAGATTCTGAGAGATGGGACAACAGGCGTATAGTCAGACAATTAATAACCAGTAGAGGCTGGATGCATAGTTCATTCTATCTGAATGCAAAGCCCAGACTCTTTCCGTTACACCCCTCTGTGCCTAGGATTTATAAAACATTGCCCTTAAATACCCAAAGGTCACAGATATAAAGCACAAACACCTGGTTGTAATTTCTTGCTGTTTATCATTTTAACTGGGGGAAAGAGCTGACTTCGAGATTAAGGGGACTATTTTGTCCTTGATTCATAGAATCTTGGAGCCAGACTAGGTTGGCCTTAATTCCCCAGTAGTTCTCATGTCTTGGAGGTGTCATCTTGCACATACCGTATTTGTTTCACTATTGCAAATAAATATAGACTCTGCTCTCTTGAGCCTCTAAAAAATAACTTTCGTAAGAGGGTGTGTGCCACTGGGTCAAGAAAAGCCACCTGTAAGAGTCTTTAACATCATTAAGAAAGAAGTCAAGAAGAATTCTTGAAGGAAAAATAATGGTCATAGAATTTCATTTGCAATGTAAGCTATGCACTTTTTTTTTTCCCCTTGGCCTTTTTGCATGCACACTGGGCCACCTCTGTCTGGAGGGAATCGCAGCAGTTTGGACCAGAATGCACGCTCCCTGAAAGAAGGGAGGTGTCTCAGGTGGAGAGTTCGTGTTTGGCTTCTTCATCTGGCCAGTGAAAACTTGGCTTCGCTTTAGGAATCTCCTGTGGAGACTGGAACTCTGCTTAGTCAAACTCTCAGCAGCCTCGGGCAGGTCCCAGACTGGGAGCAGTCCCGGCATCCACCCCAAAGAAGCTCACGGAATTTGGAAGCGAAGAGCCTCGGTTATGTGCTCCTTTATGTAGCTTGTTCTCTAGAGATAACATTGCTTTTGATTCTACCTCCTCAGGATGTTGTGATTAAATGTTAGATAGTATCTCTCAAAAGCCTTTGAAGCATCTTAGAGCTTTATTCTGTAGAAATGCCAAGATAGGTGTTTCCTGCTTATTCAGAAGCTCATAACCCTTCCCTGAAATCCTCCAAGCCCTTCCTTTCATCCCTGGCCTGTTCCGTCCTCAGTGACTGACAGGCCCATATTTTTTTGCCAGCTTCTTCTGAAGTTAGATGGTTTTGGGGGAAGGCCAAAGAAACGATGAAGAAAGTGCTGATTGAGATACCTGGGTATGATCTGAAGTTAGCCCGTGGGCCTCAACTCCGTGACTTCTTCCAGGTATGATTACGAGGAGGTGGACGCTGAGAGTGCAAACAAAATGATGAAGGATTTGGAGGCTCTCATGTTTGATCGCTCCTTTCTGGGGAAACAGTTCTCAGTGAGTGACAAAGTATACACTGTGGAGAAGGCTGATAACTTTGAGTACAGTGACCCGGTGGATGGAAGCATTTCAAGAAATCAGGTAGGAACAGATTTAAGTGTGTTTGGGAGAGAGGCCTCAGAGCTCATCTCTGTAGTCTTGAGGGAAAAAGGAAAAAGGCCTGTGGGTCGTTTTTCCTCTGCTGCCCTGTTTGTTTAGGTCTACTGGTTTTATGCTGAGTTACATGTGACTCTCATATGCACTCGTAGGGACAGTGGTTTGTGCCCTGGTTCCATCAATCCCCCATGCCCTCATTCTGGGAATCTTAGCCTAGACTCCACGGGATTTTTGCACCCTCTGGAACATGCAAGATGATGTGTTGTGTGTGCATGCAGAAAGGAGCCCCAGAATCTAAAAATCGCGGATAATTGTGGCCTTAGATATCAACTCTACTCTTTTCTCTCAAGAGACTGTAGCAGCATGATAGTGGGAGAGTGACATTATCATACACATTTTTTTCTTATGTTCTAATTTCTAAAGAAAGAAGAGAAAAACACAGGGTGTCCCAAAAGTCACCATACATATGGAAAATGAGAAATTGTAGGTAAATGTACCCTTATTTATAAAATATTCATTACAAAATTTTAAAAATTTTTTTCCTTTGTATGGAGACTTTTGACACACCCTGTATATGAGGCATTCCCAGACTTAGAAATGCTAACAGTCATTATCCACGGCACGTTACCTGCAGCCCACCTGACAAGGCAGTGGGTCGCAAGACACCAGCTCTTGCAGAACTACCAAGCAGGACCCAGTGGCCAATCTCCCGCTCATCCCTGATGACTCGTGGTGGGTTCCAATTGTGGTGCCAACCCACCCTTTTCTCTGTTGCCCTCCCCTGCCTGCCCCTCCCTGGCAGTGGCCAATCTCCTGCTACTGTTTAGAACCTGGACCATTTTGAGTAGGTGTAGACAGAATTGTTAGGGTTTCCCTCACCATGTGCTGGGTACCCAATGCTGCAGGCTGGGTCGGGCCTTCTCCCAGCTTCTCATGAACACTCAGGGGCCCAGGTCCTCTCACCTCTGGTTCTGTTGCTAGCTGTTGTCACGGAATGGACTCATCTCTGGTAATTTAGAAACAGAGATAGTGAAGAGGGGGGATGAAGATTCTGTTACAGCTTCCAAGTTTGCTTTTTCCTGATAGACCCAGGTTTTTGGCCTGGTCCTTCTCAAGGCACCTGACAGGATAGGTAATGGATGGGCTGCGTGATTTGTTGAAAGCTTGTCTTGGAGAACATTTAGGGAATGGGTAGATGGAACCTGGCCACAGCGCCCCCCAGTGCTTGGAGTCTCCCGCCCCCAAACCCTAGCATTGAGTGGTTTGTCATCCTTGTGCCCATCCACGATCTGTGAGGACTTTGGGTCCAGTATGGAAGATTGCAAATTATGTCTGAGCTAGTCAGAACAAGGGAGATCTGGGGTGGGGGAGGACAGGGGTGTAGAAAAGGAGAGGCAGGGGCCAAGGGATGGCAGAGGGGAGCTGAAGTTTGTGTGGTTAAGCCTTCAGGGAGAGGGACATTTAGGAAAAGCCAGCTCCAACTCCACATACCTCCAGCCCCTGCTAGGAGGGAGGAGGGGGCAGAGGTGCGTGTGGGAGGGGGCGACATAGGACGGGGCTGCTCTCTGTGTGCTGTAAAGAAGGCAGCTGCTCCACTTTCTGTCACCAGAAACCTGAGCAGTTGGATGGACAATGGGGTGGGAGGGAAAATGTTCCAAAACAGATATAGCATCAGCAATGGAGTGAAAAGAATTTAGAAGCTTCAAGTTGAAGCTGTGAGGGAAGGAGACCAACCCTGGTATATTTCTAGAAAGCAAGAAATGATAAGTGAAAATGAACTATATTCCATCCATGGTGACTAACTGGAGCATGTACTCTGTGTATCTCATGAGCTGTCCTCACTAATGAGCGCTAATGAATATCACAATAAACACTGGACAGACAGCAGGCGAGGAGTAGTGTCTTTCCTGCTGGTCAGTCTTTCCTTCTGGTCATCACACAAAGTTCTTCTTTTTGTGGAAGAATGGATAGACTCAAAGACCTCAGCAACTGTCTGGCCCAGCCTTTTTCCCTCAGGTTAGGGAATATCTACCCAAGAGTCTCCAACTTTTTTTCTGAAGTAAGAAAGTGACTGAGGACCAAAGATACTGACAGGGAGGGGCAGGAGAGGGCAACAGAGAAGAGAAGAAGTTGGCATTGCACTTGGACCACACTGCATGTCGTCAGGGATGAGGTCTGCAAGAGCCAGTCTCTGCCATTCAGAGACTCCGGCCTCCTGTTCTCTTTTCCAAGCTCTCTACCAGGGTTTTGTAAAGAGTCTTTCCCCTTACCTGCCTGAGACCTCTTCTGCTCTGGTTTCAGCCCCTTCTGTCCATGTTTCCCTTCCCATCTGGGGGTGGAATTTCTGCATCCAGTGGTTTTACTTACTTATTAAGCTTCAAACTAGAATGGTTAGTCCATAAATCACAGGGAAGCAGGGAGGGGAGGGAAGCCCTCGTGTCATCCGGCGTCATGGAAATCAGGTCTCCCCACACCCCTAGAAGTACTCCTCCTACCTTGGCCAAGCCCCCGTGGTCCAGATGCAGAGAGGCTGACAGAGGCTGACTTATGAGGCTCAATTGCTGCCATTTATCAGGGACCTAATCCTCCAATTGATCAAGTATGGATGAAATTAGCTCCCCAGTGGACCCCTCACAATTTGCCAGCCTTCAATCTCCCTTCCAGCATGTAGGGAAAACAATTCTCTGCTTATCCCTTCCAGGGCTTGCGGCTCATTTTTGCAGATGGTTCTCGCATCATCTTCCGGCTGAGTGGCACTGGGAGTGCAGGGGCCACCATCCGACTGTACATCGATAGCTATGAGAAGGACGTTGCCAAGATCAACCAGGACCCCCAGGTAATGCCCAAGCCCCGTGCCCTGATTAGGTCTCCTGTTTGAAGGAATGACAGTGGTTCCATTGATCCTGTGTTGTCACTACCCATTTATCAGATGACCCAACAGGGTACCCGCTATACTCATTTTCCTCCATATCTCTTTCAGTATGTCATTTACTATTTTCCCAACTCTGTTCTAAGACCCTTGCATGAATATACTCATTTAATTCTCAAATGAGGTAGATGCTATTATTCACCCTATTACAGATGAGGAAACTGAGGCACAGAAAGGTTAAGCAACAGTTAATTGATGGCAGATTCAGGATAACTAATCTTTCAATCAGCCCCTCTTCAGGTGTTCTGGTCTGATCACCTGCTCTGGCAGACTACAAACTGGTTCTGGTTCTAGATTTGGTGGGGGCGGGGAGAGGCAGTTTCCATGAGGCTTCACAGAAAAGTCTGCAGACCTACAGCCTGGGGGGGGGGTTCTCCAGCCACCCACAAAGAGTCTCCAGAAGTATGTCCATGTGGGGAGGGACTCTGGAGCCACAGATGGGACAGAGAACTTGGAGGACAACCATCAAAAGGGAGGAGCCAAGGGGAGGCAGGGACATTCAGGGCAGAGCTTCCCCAGGTTGATGGAAGCTCCCAAGCAGAGCTCCACAGCTAGGAAGAGTTGAGGAAGTGTCGTGGCACATTAGCCCCTGCTAGGCGATTCATAACACACATTGTACCTTAGAGGCTCCAAGAAAAGTTGCAGGAAAGACACCCGTTGAAATAGCTTTTGCCAAAGGACCTGAATAGACATTTCTCCAAAGAAGACAGACGGATGGTCAACAGGTGTATGACAAGGTGCTCACCATCACTAATCATCAGAGAAATGCCACTCGGAACCACAATGAGGTACCACCTGGTAGGGTGGCTATTATCAAAAAAGATGGAAGATAACAGGTGTTGGCAAAGATGTGAATCAGAGGGAGCCCTTGTACACTGTTGGTAGGACTGTAAATTGCTGTAGTCACTTTGGAAAACAGTATGGAGGTTTCTCAAAAAATTAAAACTAGGACTACCATATGATCCAGCTATCCCTTCTCTGGGTATTATATCCATGGGAACTGAAATCAGTGTCTTGTAGAAATATCTGCAGTGCCAAATTCATTGCAGCACTATTCACAATAGCCAAGATAGGGTACCAACTTAAAAGAAATTATGATGTGTGTGTGTGTATATATATATATTTATACACACACACACACACACACACACATATATATAGAGAGAGAGATCTATGTATATCACAATGGAAAATTATTCTGCCTTTAAAGAAAAAAAGGAAATTCTGCCATTTACAACAACATGGATGAACCTGGAGGACATTATGCTAAGTGAAATAAGCCAGACACAGAAAGATAAATACTGCATGATCTCACATATGTGGAATGTAAAAAAAAATGAACTCAGAGAAACAGAGTAGAAGGATAGTTACCAGGGACTGGTGGGGGCGGGAAATGGGGAGATGTTGGTCAAAGGGTGCAAAATTTTACTTACATAGGATGAAGAAGTTTTAGATGTACAACATGGTGGCTATAATTACTACTGTATTGTATACTTGAAATTTGCTAAGAGAGCAGATCTTAAGTGTTCCCAGTATTACCACCACACACAAAAAAGGTAACTATATCATGAGATTGATATGTTAGTTAGCTTGACTATAGTAATTAGTTCACTATGTATATCAAAACATCATACTGTATACCTTAAATATAAACAATTTTTATTAAAAAATTAAAAGTAAAATAAAGTCGATAGCAATTGCCATGCTTATTTTTCCACAAAGGCTTTTTTTCTTCTAACACCTAATTAAAATCCTGTGAAAATTATTTGGAAACCCCTAGCATAGTGGTTTTGAGCATAGGTTTTGGAGTAGGAGATATCTTGTTTTAAATTCTGTTCCTGCCACTTAATAATTGTGTGTTAGTGGGTAAGTTTTTTCAATTTTATGAGTCTTGGTTTCCTTGTCTGTCAAATGACAGAGTAATACCTACTTCATAGAGTTGTTATAGGGATTTAGGAAAACAATAATGCAAAATGCTTAAATACTATGGCTGGCACATAGGATTAACTTTTGAGAATAAGCAGCTCTTACAGTTCTTTTTTTTTTAGTCTAAATTTAAAAAAAAAATTCTAAAAAACATGTAACATAAAATTTACCATCATGACCAGTTTTAAGTATTATATATATTCACATTGTTGTCCAAATTTTTTTTTTTTGGCAAAAGTAAAACTCTATGCCCATTGAATAACAACTCCCCATTTCCCCTCTCCTCAGCCCCCATTCTACTTCCTGTGTCTATGAAATTGACCACTCTAGGTACCTCATCTAAATGGTACAGTCGACTTTATTACAAAAAGGGGGCGGTGAGAGAATGCATCACTTTTACATTTTTTCCAGTATCCAGGCTCCAGGTTGTTTTTTTTTTTGCAAGTTAACATTGGCTTACCTGTCCAGTGACATGGTTAGTCTGGCTCCAGTTTCAGTCATCACCAGAACCCTCTTGTGTTGTAGGCACTCCTCAACTGTAACCAAGGGCAGTGAGGTCTGCATTCTAGACACTTAGAATAACAGAGCAAGAGGAAAGGAAGAAGGAAAGTGTGTCTGTCTCTTTATCCTCAAGATAAGTGCCCTGCTCGTGGTAGATACAAAGAGCAAACGAAAGGTGCTGCTTCTGTGCCACGGTGCTGGGGGTGTGATGGCACTGAAGGGGGGCACCATCCAGTGGGCAGACGGCGCCCCTTATCTGTAGCTGCTGGGCCACAGCCTCAGCACCTCCTGGGGACTGTCCAAGCCCTAAGGGGAAGGCGGCGCGGGCTCAGCTGGTAGAGTCGATCCTCCTTCTCATCCACGTATAACATACTGGTGGAGATTTAGATAAGAGAAAGCGCCAGTTGGCAGTAGAAAATGTACTATCCTGCCTCTGCCATTGAGTCATTTGGTCAAATCACTTCACCTCTTTGGGTATCAATTTTCTTATCTGTAAAATGGGTAGTTCATCTAGACGAGTAGGGTTTCTTTATAAATATTAAAAATATTTATTTAAGCAGGAGAATTCTTTTTTGTTTTTCTTTAAGTGAGAGGTAGATGTGGGGGCGGGGAGCTGTCACAGTTTGAAAGATCTCTTCAGGTACAGTGTGGGAAACCTCTTGAAGGATGCAAAAGTGGATGTGGAGGCCCAGGTGAGAGAGGGAACATCGGCTCAGCAAGGGTTGTGGCAGTAGGATGGAAGGAAATGGGTGCGGTGTGAGATATTTAGAAGGTAAAGAGCACTCAGAGGAAGATGTCAAAAATGACTCATTTCACTGTACATGAAAGACTGTGCAGTTGATCCACTAAAAGAGAAACTGCTGGAAGTAGGGAGAAAGAACCTATGTTTGTTTTCAGGCCTGTAGAGTGAGGAGGCCTGGCAGTAGGCAGTCAGACGCGTGGGGCTGGAGCTCAGAGGCTGTTAGGGCTGGTGCTAAGGGTCTGTGTTTAGAGAAAGTGATGGCAAATGTGCTTCTCTTTGTGTCCCCCTCAGGTCATGCTGGCCCCTCTCATTTCCATCGCTCTGAAAGTGTCCCAACTCCAGGAAAGGACGGGCCGCACTGCACCCACCGTCATCACCTAGGAAGACGGGCCAGACGCGGTACGTCTCTCCACGCCAGGACCCAGCCAGGCCCTCGGATTGAAGAGCGTGGACAGAAACACAGTGTGTTTGCCAGGCTTTTTAGGATTTGATTTTTCCACTAACCCTTTGTCGACAAATGGTGCGTTTGTAAGACACTGCTAATTGAGATGCCCTTGGGAAAGACAGGAAGAGGACTGGGGGGCTCATGCTAATGTCAGTTCCTTTCCTTGCCCTTCTGCACCGCTGCTGCGTGTGGGTGTTTGTCTCCTTAGCATCGGGCGCTGTTTACACTACAATGGAAGGCAGCAGGCGAGGCCACTTTTCATCCTTAGGATGTGCCAGTGGCATGACAGTGCAGATTCCTTTCTTCTTGGCAAATCTCCACCCCTCCCTCTACTGTTTACATGTAACCCAACAAAACGCAATTTCTGGTGCCTTCTGTCCAATTAGTTCTTTCCTCGGAGTGAGACGTACTTACTTGTCTACAGATTTCTGTCTTATTTGGCAACGTAGTCCCATTCACGCAGATATTTTGGGATATTAAAGCAAAATAAGCTACTATTGCGTGTAGTCTTTTTTTTTTCTTAACTACAAAGTGCTTTTTATTTTTTTTAACTTTCAGAAAGAAAAACATTTTTTTTTTTTGAAGAAGAGGGTATTATATTTTGTTTTGATGTCCTAGCCAGAAAACAAAATAGTATCTTGGCTAGGTTGAAAATCCTTAGACTCAAGAACTGTAATTTTAAATCTTAGCAGAATCATCTGAGCTCTGAGCCTTCCAAGGTAGACAAGTTAGGCTTGATGTGGATAACTTGGAACAAGGGCAAGGAAGATGATTTTGGGGAGATCTTAAATAGCAAAGCACTGCCACGTGCTTTGCAATGCTGGAGTGCCTTGATGCCTATGGAAGGGAAGGAGGCAGAACTCTCAGAATCCCGGAGCAGGATTACTGGCATTGGGCTGGAAATCTGAGCCCACTGGCATCTTGTTGGTCTCAGAACACTTATATTCCACCCACAGTGTAACATTGTAGTTAAAGGCATCACTTGGGAGCCAACAGACCCCAGTCTGAATCTCATTTAAGACCTTGAGTGACCTTTGACTATCATTCCCCTCATCTTTAAAATGGAAATGAAAATAGTTCTAACAGTATGGAGTCGTTGAGTGGACCTGTGTAAAAGCATTGAGCGTAGGATATCTAGTTCATGGTAGGCTGTCAAGTAAATGGAAACCAAGGTTATGTTTAAGATATTGTTTCTCAATTTTAAAGTACTATACATATAGAGAAAACAGAAACTATAGTATGAATATTTCAATACATTTTATAGTTTGGAAGGTGATTTTGTAGAAGTGGAAGGCACTTCCACAAAATCACCTTGCCATGTGGACCATTCCAGAAACTCAGCCCAACTCTGCACACCTTCCCCACTCAGTGGTGCTTGTTCACCTTCCCTGGCTCTCTTCTGCCTCCTCCTATGCTGAATCAGCTTCAGACACCCCCAGTTCTGTGGCCCCTGAGATGGCTTCAAAGATTTCTTCCTCACCCCTGACCATAACTCAGCTGCTTCCCCTGACCCCACTGGCCCCAGCTTGGGAGCTACAAGCTCAGGTGGGGAGAGGGAGGTGGCTGGAGCCAACGGGCAGTGGAGGTGGGCGTGGGCGAGGGCCACCCTTTCCCCCCTGTGGCTTCCAGGCAGATGTACCCCAACACACGCACCCCCGGCAGCGCACAGCCGGGCCTCCCGCCTCCCAGGATTGATGTGGTCTGTGAGTCAGGCTTGTTTTCTTCGGGGCGTGGTGAGGATTACAGTGAGAAAATTGGTTTGGAACTGTTTGGGGCCCAACTCTGAAATTTCACTTTTCCCCTCCCTCTTGACATTCAGCTATTATCTTGGAGAAGCAGTTTCCTGTTCAGGGATGTTCCCCAGACCCAGAAAATGGCCTGGCTTGCAGGGGCTGGGCCCTGCCTCCTAGGGAACAAAAGCGGAGGCCGAGCTCACTGTGGTGCGGGGCAGTGTCATTTCCTGGCCCTTTGAGCCCAGGCTCCGAGGACCAGGTCCCCTGCCCCCAGGTTCACCCAGGCCGCTTTCTTCTGCATTTCTTGTCGACTCACTAGACAGCAGCTGGCCTTGCTGTGTAAGAATCCTCCAGAAAACATACTCACCCTGCACGTGTCTGTGTTCTGAGCCCCAGCAGAGGGGGTGGATCCGAGAGTAGAACAGCCTTGCGGCAGGGGCCACCGTGTCTCCGTGGGTGTTGGCAGGGCCACCTCATGGCCTTCTGGCCCTCACTCTTGCCGCTGTGATCCATTCTCCACATCACCAGCTAAGTGCTCTTTCAAATGCCCACAAGGCCCATGTGACCTCCCTGTCTGCCTGTCACTTACCCCCCCCCCCCCCAGCTCCTCTCCCTCTACTCTCCACCTCACATGCATGCTTCAGCCACAGGGGGCCACTGCAGTCCCCTGGAAGCACCTGCTCTTCTCCCCGCCTGAACCACCTCCCCCCTCCCCCCTCCACACGTGCCCCCAACTCCCGCTCGTTCCCCAGGTCTCAAACGTCCAAGCCTCAGAGAAGCTTTTTCTGAGCCTCCAATGTCTGGTTTGGGAGCTTTTTCTAGTGCTCTCATAGCATCCTGCTCCCCCTTCCTGACACTCACACACCTTCTGTTAACAACCTGTTTACTTTCCATTTCGGCTACCACCCTGGGAACTCCTGGAGGGCAGGGGCTGCTTTTTTCGCCAGTGTTTACTCAGGATCCAGGCCCGTGCCTGGCATGGTAAAAACATCATTCAATAGTGAATGAATGAGTGAATGAAACCTACTAGTTGCATGGCAGAGTGTTTCCTTATGCTGTGATCTGTGTGATCTGTGAAGTAGGATTATCTTAAATTTACAGGTGACGAGTGACTGGACCAACTTACATGGCTAGTAGCTGGCTAACCAGGACCTCGTTCACAAAGCTGTAGAGGCTGAAAATGAGAAAGCACCCAGGAGAGAGGGGAGGGGAGAGGGGTACTGGCAACAAGTGGGAGTTATGGTCATGATTACTCCGAATAAAACTTTTAATTTAAATGTTGAAAAGCATTTTATTTCCCATTGCTATAAAACTTAATTAGGGGTATAGTTGGAGAAGAGTTCTGCTGAATACAGAAATGGGTTATTTTTCTTCAAGGAGTAGAATCAGCAAAGCCAGGCCCAAGCCTCAAGGCCCCCTCTGTGCAGATTCATGGAAGGGAACCCCTGATGGGTAGAGCGTGTGCCTTCTGGAAGGCTGAGAAGCTCGCCTTGGTTCCCATCAGAACAAGAGTGATTCCCACAGTTGGTGTGTCATTACACTAAGGAAGTGAGGTCACTGTCGGCAGGAGCATGTCTCATGTCTGTCTGATTGTCCTATGGAAACTTTTGAGGTCTTCAGTTTGGTTTTTCATAAAATATGAAAGCTCTGCCTAGATAGATCCAGTAAGTTAGATTTGTGGGTGTGGGCTAATCACTATTTTCCCAAAAGCACGTCTTCTGTAATTCACTGAGTTGAGTACAACTCTCCAATTAACAGAAAGGCTAGTTAAGAGTAGCAACTTATTTGCTTTTTGTGACGGTGTTATTTCATAGCAGCTCTGTTTGCACTGGTTTCTGACTTCATTTTTGCACACTGTTATTATTCCAGATAAAGAAGTGAAAATTTTAGCTGGGCATAATGGCGAGCTCCTGTAGTCCCAGCTATTGGGGAGGCTGAGGGGAGGATCGCTAGAGCTCAGGAGTTTGAGACAAGCCTGGGCAACATAGTGAAAACTTGTCTCAAAAAAAAAAAAGGCAAATTTTGAAAGTTTCTGGTTAACCTTTGCTGTATAACAAAGCACCCCAAAATCTAGTGGTATTAAACTTTTACATGACTTAACTTTTGCATGCTCACAGATTCTGTAGGTCAGGGAATCAAATGGGGCACAGTGGAAATAGTAGCTTGTCTCTGCTTTGCAATGTCTGGGGTCTACCTGGTATCTTAGTCTGTTGGGGCCACCATAACAAAATACCATGAACTGGGTGGCTTATAAACAACAGGAATTCATTTGCCACCATCCTGGAGGCTGGGAAGTCCAAGGTCAAGGCACTGGCAGATTCAGTGTCTACCAAGGGCCCAATTTCTGGCTTATTGTTGGCACCTCCTCTCTGTGTACCCCTCATGGTAGATGGGCCAAGAAGAGGTCTTTCTCAGGTGTCTTTTATAAGGGCTACACCTTCATGACCTAACCACCTTCCCAAGGCTCCACCTCCTAATACCATCACCTTGGGGATTAGGATTTTAACATATGAAATTCAGGGGACACACATTCAGACCATAGTACCTGGGCAGACTGGAACAGCTAGGAACAACACAAAAGGCTGGAATCCTCTGGAGGTTCCTTCACTCACATGTCTGGGACAACTCAGTGTCTCAGTTCACCTGGCATTGTCACATCCACACCTGTACGTGACCTCTCTGTGTTGCCTGGGTTTCTCACAGCGTGATGCTAGCTTCCAAGAGAGCCTCCCAAGAGCAAGTGTGCCAAGAGAGTCCAGTGGAAGCTGTATTTTCCTTCCCTACCTTTGGAAGTCACCCAGTGTCACTTCAGCCATATCCGGTTGGTTGCCACCAACTCACTCAGGCCAGCCCAGCCCAGATTCAAGGGAGTGTTGGCCACATCGTGTTGCAGAAGAGTATGTGAGATGGGGGCTATTGTAGCCATCCTTGGAAGATACAATGTCACAACAGGATTTATCTCTTCTGGACATTTCACATAAACGGAATTGCATGATATGCGCCCTTTTGTATCTGTAGATCTCTTATAACACAAAGCCCCTAAACTAGGAGCTTCTCCAGCGTGAAGACTGTTCTGGTCATCTTTTTCTTCACGGTGCTATGAATTCACTGTTTATTAAATGAAGGACTGAATGAGCACTTGAGAAGCAAATATATGTGGACACTAAATAGAGTCTGAGGTTTGCTGGGTGCTCGCTGTGGGCCTGGCATGGTGCTATGTGCTTCGCAAAGGTGACCTCACTATTCCCTCATCACACACACCCTCACGAGATGAGGACTGTAAAATCCCCACTTTACAGACTGGACACACAGGGAGGTTAAATGACTTGCTTCAAGTCCCATCTAATGGGTGCTGGGCCCAGACTTTGAACTTCTGTCCTCTGCACTTCTAAACTGTATGCAAAGGAATGCCCTTTAGAGTTCAATCTCCTCTGCCTTCAGTGAGAAAAATGGACGTCTACAATGCGTTCACAGGTATTTATTGAGCCCCTACGATGTGCCAGCCACTGCCACATTAGGGGCCACAGATTAGCCAAGAACAAAGGTAATTAATCCCCAAACGGCAGTTCCCTGCGCCGGGCAGTGGGGTGGGGGTCTGCGTGCACCAGGAGCGGTGGGGTGGAGGGGCGCAGGGCACGCAGCCCAGCTGAGCCAGCCTTTCTATCTGTGCTGTGAGCAAAGCACACCGCTAGGTGTGAGCTCACTGCCACCCTCCTTTGTGCCCTCAGGGCTGCTTGGGAAGGGCGCGGGCCTCGCCTGGCCTG